CCTGGGTGGGTTGAAACTGGGACAGGACAGACATCTTCAGCCTCTTGGCAGATTCCTGGCTCAGCTCCTTTTACGCAACACATTCAGGGCTTAAATGTAAATGCTTCCTGGGAAAGGCTGTTTCTTTGCTCAGGGTCTGAGTAGAAAAGTATCTGAGTAGAAAAGTAACCACCCTCCCCCTCATTCCCAAACACCTTTTAAGGTGAGCTGACCTTAGAACATTCTTCCATTTTAGATCTGATCACTTAGCTGCTATTTCTCTAGATACAAAAACGCCTCAAACTGAGATTATCAAAAATTCTGATAAATACAATAATCCTAATATATGTAATATAAATATAAAGCAACCAATATTCTACCAGTTCCCCTCTGATCTGCTGAGACTGAGCTTCCTGAGAAAATAGTGGATGATTTAAATCAGTGACTCTCAAACTTTATGGTCCCTGGACCTTTTTTTGAGGATTCCAAAGAAGTTTTGTTTGTCCAGGTTATAGCTATCAATTTACCATATTAGTAATTAAAACTGGGAATTATATCAGTGTATATGGCATAATTATATTAGTGTATATGGCATAATTTTTATGAAAAATAAGAATTTTAAAAAATCCATGAAAAGAATGGCATTTTCACATCATTCTAATATCTGGCTCAGTAAAAGATAGCTGCACCTTTGTATCTGCTTTTGTGTGATACGTTGCTTTGGTTGAGGTTTATGACAAATATTCTGTGTCTCACACGCACATAGTTGAACATACTTTCCAGGTAGCACGTGAAAAGGTCTTGGGGACACAAAGGGGTCCTCAGACCTCACTTCGAGAACCACTGGTTTAGATAATGATGGTGCAACTATGTTCCTCACTTGTGCGAATCATGGCGATAAAAACCAGAGCTCTGCACGAGAGAGAGAATGGTTGTAGGGTGTTGGGGGGAAGAAGTCATGGGTAGGTCCTTCATTATCCAGATATATGTCTCCAACCTGCACTACACTGAAAGCAGCCTGATCCCAGCTAGCTCCTCACTGGGGAAAGGTAATGTTGAGATAGAGTTTCCCTTTGAGCCAGCCCCAACCCTGAATAGTAGGGACCAAATGCTTAATGGGAACAATTTTGGGGAGATAGGGTGCAGGGAAGGAGGCATAGTGCAGCAGTCATCAACCCCAGACACACAGTGGGCCACCTGGGAGATGGAAAGGCTGCCTTGATTGGCCTGAGCAAAAGCCTTCACAGCAGGAGTTTTGAAAGTTGTCTGGCTGATTCTATTGTGCAGCCAGGGACAAGCACCACCTGTTTGATGCGGGCTCAGGAAGCAGAGCACCTGGGTTTGAACCCCTGGTTCACTAGTCATTTATATATACAGCTCACTAAATGTATAACTAACCTCAGGCCAATTACTCGGCTTCAGTTTACTTATCTGTAAAATGAGAATGCCATGAGGGATGTTGTGAATACTGAATGACATCATCCATTTAAAGTTCTTAGTGCTGGGACTGGCACAGAGCATGTACTCAGTCAACCTGAGCTGTCACGTAAGGTGAAGATCAGTGCAGGCTGTCAGCTTGTCAGCTTCCAGGGATGAGCATCTCTGAGGAAGCTGTCCCCCATGCAGGACAAGACACTGACACAAAGTACATGTTAAGACCTGGGTCTTCTGTCTCTGCATCTGGAAATAGAGGTAGTTGGTGACTCCTTCAACCCAGGATCCAATTCTGGAAACTTCAGGGGAACAAGAGACCTCTTGGCTGAGGTGCACAAAGGTGATGTCACTAGAAACAGGTGCAGGAGAAGTCCGCACTGAGAGCAATGATGGTGCTGATACTGTGTGTGTGTATCCGTGTGTGTGTGTGCATGCACACTGTGAAATCAGACTCATACTGTTTCTTCCCTTTAAAATTATTGAAACGTCTCAAAACTATTACAGATGGCAGAGAAAAAACACAGTGTAGAAATATTTTAATAGCTTACTCTTGGCCTGCAGACTGTCCATAGAGACCTGGAGTGAATGAGACTCCCTCCTCATTTGTCCCCTAGAACATCATCATTACACACTACACACTGCGTTCTGCCTCAGAGCTCATCGGGTCATCCACAAAAGTGAAGAGCAACACAAAAGGGGGGCCCGGGAAAAAAACACATCCAGGCCTTGCACGCTCCCTGAGCAGGCAGGACAGCCATGACTCAATCGTTTTATTAAGAGGCAGGATGAATCATGTAACACTTCTTCTAGAATTACTGGATGTGGACAGCTCCTCCAGCTGTTTACAGGGTAGAATTTGAGAGCCTTCAAACACAGATGTGCCGCTGAGTCTCATGACATCCACCCAGTGAGATGAGCTTGCCGCACTGATGGCCAGTTTCATTTCCTTCAAGTTTATTGGCTTTTGCGAATTCACACAGAGAGAGGTGCCAAACAGCCCGAGATAATTCACAGAAATGAACTGGAGGGATCGTCTGGGGCCAATCCTGTGCCTCCTAGAGGAATCATATCTAATCACTCAGGACAGAGAGTTGTCCAGGCTGCCTAAGGCCACTAAGCAAGCCAGGAAAATGGGAATATAATTGGATCCAGAGCTCAACACGCTTCATCAGGAGTGAGATTACAGAGGCTAATCCTTCAGACTCAGCAGGTCAGGATGCAATTAGCAAGCCTCATTAAGGGATCAGCTCTCACATCCAGGTCTTGAGTATTGACACTAAGTTAAGCCACAGACATGCTGGGCTGATTAAGGAAACAAGAAACTGGCCACAGGCCAAGATTTCACCTTCAAACAGCCCCACGCTGAATGTGCTTGGAGGTGGCTCTGATAGAGAGAGTGGTTGACAGCAAAGAGGGTTGGGTTTGTGTGTGTGTGTGTGTGTGTGTGTGTGTGTGTGTGTGTATGTGCATGTGTGTGTGTGTGTTTGGTTGTGTTCACAGCTCTAAATGGATGTTCCATCAAGAGGCAATTTCCTAGCTTGAAAATCTCTGCCAACTGCTTGGTACGAAATGATTTTTTACACTTTGCAAGCACACTCCACTCTGCCATGTGGGAGCTGTCCTGTGCCAAGTGAACATCCTGCCCCACGCTCCCCAGCTCAGCTGACAGTGCAGTGCCCTCATCAGCATGGAGGTGGCTGCAGTACTCCAGTGCAGGTGCTGCCAAGGCTCTGCCTGGAATTCCTTCCTGAGAAGATTCCAGGTTTGGTCCTTGTCTCCTTAGACAACCTACCAAAGACTGGTGGGGCTGTCAGGGAGTGGGAAGGATCTCCTTTCAAGTGTGGATCCCAGGCCCCCACTAGCTCCAAACTACACTCCACAAAGAAAGGCACCCCTGCGGTCTCCTGAACTGGGAGGGCCCCATCCCTCAGTCCTCAGACTCTCCCTCCCAGAACTTGCTGGGCAGGGAGAGAGGTAGTGGGCTGCTGCAGGAGAGGATCAGCTCTTCAGCCTGCGGCCAATCTGCAGCTACCCCAGTTCAGGCTCCTCCCCTAGCGGGGGTCTCACAGGAGAAGTGGTGTTAGGTTTTCTGTTTGTTCACTTTGAGACAGGGTCTCACTCCGGTTGCTCAGGCTGGAGTGCAGTGGTACGTTCATAGCTCACTGCAGCCTCAACCTCCTGGGTCTCAAGCCATCCTCCCACCTCAGCCGCAGAAGTAGCCAGAGTACAGGTGGGCACCACCATGCCTAGCTAGTTTTTGTTCTGTTTAGTTGGTTTTGTTTGTTTGTTTGTTTTTGAGACAGAGTCTCACTCTATTGCCCAGGCTGGAGTACAGTGGCACAATCTCAGCTCACTGCAACCTCTGCCTCCTGTTTCAAGGCATTCTCTTGCCTCAGCCTCCCAAGTAGTTGGGACTACAGGCATGCACCACCACACCTGGCTAATTTTGTAATTTTTTTTCTTTAGTAGAAACGATGTTTTGCCATGTTGCCCAGGCTGGTCTCGAACTCCTGGCCTCAAGTGATCCACCTGCCTCAGCCTCTCAAAGTGCTAGGATTACAGGCGTGAGCCACTGCGCCTGGCCAGTTTTTGTATTTTTTGTGGAGACAGGGTTTCACCACATTGCCCAGGCTAGTATTGAACTCCATCAGCCTACCCTGGCCTCCCAAAGTGCTGGGATATAAGATGTGAGCCACCAAGTCCCACTGAGATATATTTTTTTCCCATGTCCAATGTTAAGAAAGCCATGAAGCTGAATGAACTTGGCTAAAATATATCACTCCTGATACTGACATACAAAGGAACTCACTAACATGTATTTTTTCTTTCTTCTTTCTTTTTTCATGAGGCCAAATTGACTAAAATAATAATTTAGAATGACAATTTTTAGACAAATGAGACATAAACTTTGGCTAAGTCTAAAGTGCCTTAAAAGCCCCTGAAATGAGTTATTTCTATTTCCCAGCTATTTATCTTTACCCCTAAAATTATGTTGGTTTTGTGAACAAATATTTTATTACTTCTGCTGATACTCCTATTCCCTAGCCTGTGAGATTGGAAAAGTGAACGTGTGGGTCGAGGGAAGGGTTCATTAGGTTAGGGGGAGTGGGGCAGAAAAAGGGCCTGAGGAAGGCACTCTCCTCCACTGAGAAGTGTCTGTCAGCTGCCCTCAGCATGAGATCAACAGGCTTAGCAAGTCACAAAAGCGAACAAAGCAAAATGTCTAAGCAAATGAACACAGAAACAGAAAACCAAATACCTCATGTTCTTACTTATAAGTGGGAGCTAAACAGTGAGTACACACAGACACAAAGAAGAAAATAATAGGCACAGGGGCCTACTTGAGGGAGGAGGAAGGGAGAAGAGTGAGGGTCAAAAAACTACCTATCATGAGTTCCGTGCCCACTACCAGGGTGATGAAATACTCTGTATACCAAACCTCCACAATGTGTGATTTGCCCATGTAACAAACCTGCACATGTACCCTCTAAACCTAAAATGAAAGTTGTAAAGAAAAAAATCTGTCTCTCTCACACACACACACACATACAAACACATGAGGATACCAAAATAACAATGACACTTACCAGATCCTGAAATGCACCTTTGAACAGAGGTAGACCCATGGTAAACTTCACTCTCTGAACTGTCAAAGCTCTCATTTCATCCAAACTTAAATCATACCTGTGAAGAACAGATACAAAATAAGACAGCCAATAGTTGGTGACTGAGAGGAAGCTGTGGATGCTTTGATCCCAGGCTCATCTAGAGAAGCTGTGTCCATTGTAGCGCTTGTTTGATACTGTGCACACTGTGTGTTACACAGACTGGGTGTTCAATACAGCCATCACAGAGAGGGAGAGAAGGAAGGATTTTCTGAGAAAACAAAACCATCTTTTTTTTTTTTTTTTTTTTTTTTTTTGAGATGGAGTCTCCCTCTGTTGCCCAGGCTGGAGTGCAGTAGTGCGATCTCAGCTCACAGCAACCTCTGCCTTCTGGGTTCAAGTGATTCTCCTGCCTCAGCCTCCCAAGTAGCTGGACTACAGGTGCCCACCACCACACCCATCTAATTTTTGTTTGTATTTTTAGTAGAGACAGGGTTTCACACATTGGCCAGACTGGTCTCAAACTCCTAACCTTGTGATCCACCTGCCTTGGCCTCCCAAAGTGCTGGGATTATAGGCATGAACCCCCACACCCGGGCAAGACCATCTTAAAACAAGACTGCAGCACCTCCTGCTCTGCAGGGCATTGAAGATTGTCTGAGGTGACTTAAAGCAGTATTTGGGAGATGGGGAAGAGGGAGTGACCTGCGTGTTACAAGAATTGGACCGTGGTGGCTGTAAGAATTGCCGCTCAGGGTTGCCTTTGAGAGTACCTGCCTCCAGCTACCACACCTTTGAATTAACAGAGTAATTGTTAAGTATGTTCACCACAAGGCTGCTCATCCCTTGGCTGCTCCCAGCTAATGATGGTTGACCTTCACAAGTTTCTAGAGTCAGGCCATGCCTGCCCAGGAGATGACCTGCTCTGGAACCCCCACTTTCCTGCAGAGACTTTGTCATCACTGCACTGTGGTCTGAGCCTTTCCCTGCTCAAACCTTTCCTCCCCTTCTCTTTTCGAGGAGGCCAGACCTGACTGCCTTTGTTCTGAGGGTTCTCCCCACCAGTCTAGCTCCCTCCCACTTATCCTTCACAGGTGTTTTCTCCCATTAAATTTCTTGACATCTAACCCCATCTTGGCCCCTACTTCTCAATGAACCTAAACTGACATAGAAGGAGAGGTTCCTCCTTAGCCACCTAAAATGTTTCATGAAAAGCACAGCCTGAGCCTGGACGACCTCACTCAGGTTTGATTTCAGAGCTAGAGGATATGAAAAGGATGGATTAACAATAGAAAACCTCCTTGGGGATACCCACCCTACAACAGAAAAACACCGGAGCAAAACACAACCGTCTTCCTCTCCTTCAGTTTCGGTGGGACACTGCTCTTCCTCTCCACCCCATAATCCTCCAAAAGCAGGAGGGGATGCTCCAATTCCTCTCCGCAAGGCTGAAAGGGAAGTTCATCTTCCACCTCTTGACTTGCATAGCGGATGGAGCATCTGAGTTCCCTACCTGGTGCACACCTTGGTGGGCCGAGTAGGGGGCTGATCTTCTATCTCCTGCCCAGCAAAAGCACGTGGTGCCAGGGTAACATTAGTGGAGTCCAGTGGTGGCCATCTGTACCCAGCAATAACAAGGCCTAGCAAGGAGATGCGAGGTAAGTCTAGTCACACCCTGCTTCACACCAACACCCCATCAGCGGGATCCAACGGGAAGCTGAGACTCCACCCCTGCTTGGTATTGACAAGGGGAAAAGGAGGTGATAGGAGAGAGGGTCAGTTGGCACTTGATTCACTCCTCTCCTTCCCTGATGTCATTAGTGCCCAGAAGAGAACTGAGCTTCCATCCCAAACTGTTAACAAAAAGTGATGTGGGTCAGCCTTCAACTTCCCCCTTCCTTGTGGCAGCTCAGCCCAGTGGGGAGGGGATGATCTCACATCCTCATTTGAAGACAACTGAGGCAGTGAGATTCAATGCCCTACTTCAGTTGAGTAGGTGTCAGCAGGGCCAAAGAGGGGAGCTGAATTTTTACTCCATACATTTTCTTTTTTTGGAGACGGGGTTTCGCTCTTGTTACCCAGGCTGGAATGCAATGGTGCGATCTCGGCTCACCGCAACCTCCTCCTCCTGGGTTCAGGCAATTCTCCTGCCTCAGCCTCCTGAGTAGCTGGGATTACAGGCATGCACCACCACGCCCAGCTAATTTTTTTTGTATTTTTAGTAGAGACGGGGTTTCACCATGTTGACCAGGATGGTCTCAATCTCTTGACCTCGTGATCCACCCGCCTCGGCCTCCCAAAGTGCTGGGATTACAGGCTTGAGCCACCACGCCCGGCCCTACTCCATACATTTTCAACAACTGTAAGTCAGCTCAACAGGAAGCTGAATATACATGGCTATCTGAACATCCCAATATACCTCAACAAGGGATTCCCTGCTAAAAAATATTCAATCAGTCTCGAGCCACATAATAAAATATCCAAAATGTCCAGGACACAATAAAAAAAATTGCACATCATACCAAGAACCATCAGAACACATACAAAGACTTTACTAGGAACCATCACAGCAAGAAGGAACATCACAACATGAATGATAAAGAAATCAACAGATACCAACACCAAGATTAATCAGACATTGGAATTATCTGATAAAGATTTTAAAGCAACCATCATAACAATGCTTCGATAAGCAATTATAATTTCTCTTGAAATAAATGGGGGAAAACCCCAGAAAATTGTACCAAAGAAGTAAAAGTTATAGAAAAGAATAAAATGGAAATTGTAGAACTGAAAAATATGAAAATCACACCTTTGAATTAACGGAGTAATTGTTAAGTATGTTCACCACAAGACTGCTCATCTCCTGGCATAACCAAATTGGCTTAAAATCTGGCTTAACCAAATTTTTTAAATCTCACTAGATGAAGTCAAGAATACAGCATAGATGACGGAATGGTGATAGAATCAGTGAATAGAATAGTGACAGAATAGAATCAGCAAATCTGATGACAGATTGCTGTGGCCTAAATGTAAGTCCTTCAAAATTCGTATGTTGAATCCTAATCACCAAGGTGATTATATTAGAAAGTAGGGGCTCTTGGATATGATTAGGTCATGCGTACTTCACCCTGATGAATGAGATTTATGTCCTTACAAAAGAGGTCTCGGAAAGCTGCCTTGCTCCTCCCACTATGTTAGGACATGGCAAGAAGGCACTGTTTATGAACGAGAAATCAAAACACTCACCAGACACTAAAGCTTCTGGTATCTTGATCTTGGACTTTCCAGCCTCCAGAACATGAAAAACAAATTTGTTATTTAAAGGCAACATGATCTAAGATATTTTATTACAGACTAGAACACAAATCAATAGAATTTGTCGATCTTAACAACAAAGAAAATATAGACTGAAAAATAAGGCAACTATTTCTCAGGAATATTTGAGACAATAGCAACAGAGCCAACATGCCTATCTTCAGTTTCAGAAGGCAAAAAGAGAGAGATTGGAAGTCATATAATAGTTAAAAACTTCCACTACTGGTAAAAGACATAATGAACCTACAGGTTCAATAAGATGAGCAAATAATTGGCTAACTGCAAAGAAGCCCAGGTCAAGAAACATCGTAATTAAATTTCTGAAAACTAAAGCCAGGGAAAAAATCTTGAAAGCAGGTAGAGAGAAATGATCCATTACTTATAGGGAAAAATCAATTGGAATGACAGCAGATTTCTCACTGGAAACTATAGAGGCCAGAAGTAAGTAGCTTAACATTTTTCAGATACTGAGACAAAATAACTGTCAATGACAAATTTTATACTCAGTGAAGATATCCTTCAGGAATGAAAAAGAAGAAGAATAAAAACCTTCTCAGGCAAAAAAAAATCTACGAGAATGTTTGCCGGCAACGTGACTTTTAAAGAATGGCTAAAGGTAGTTCTCTAAACAGACAGGAAATGATAGGAGAAGAAGGATAGAACGTTCAGAAAAGAAAGAACATAAGAATGAGTAAAAACATTGTAAACTAGATTACTTATTATGCATTTTTAGTAGACTGTTTTTAGAGCAATTTTTGGCTCACTGTAAAACTGAGTCCCATATAGTTCCCATCCCAACTTGTGCATAGCCTCCCTTACTGTCAAAATGCCCCACCAGAGTGGTATATTTATTACAGCTGATGAACATACATTACCCATCATTATCTCCCAAGTTCATACTTTGCATTAGGGTTCACTCTTGGAATTGTACATTATGTGGGTCTGGATAAATTTATAATGACATGTATCTACTATTGTAGTATCATACAGAGTAGCTTCACTGCCCTAAAAATCCTCTGTGCCATGCCTCCCCCAACCCCTGGCAGCCACTGATCTTTTTACTGTCTCCATAGATTTTGCCTCGTCTAAGATGTCATACAGTTGAAATAATGCAGTATATAGGCTTTTGGATTGTCTTCATTCACTTAGTAAATACCTTTAAGTCTCTGTTTTTCTCATGGCTTGATACCTCCTTTCTTTTTAGCCCTAAATAATATTCCATTGCCTGGAGGTACCACCATTTATTTATCCATTCAACTACTGATTGACATCTTGGTTACTTCTAAGTTTGGGAAATTATAAATAGAATTGCTATAAATATCCATGTGCAGGTTTCTGTGTACACACACGTTTTCCATTCCTTTGGGTAAATACCAAGGAAAATGATTACTGAACCATTTGGTAAGAAATCACCAAACTGTCTTCCAAAATAGCTACACCATTTTGCATTCTTACCATCAATGAATAAGACTTCTTGTTGTCAGCACTTAGGGTTGTCAGTGTTCTGGATTTTGGCCTTTCTAACAGACATGTAATGGCACCTCATTGTTGTTTTAATGTGTGTTGCCCTAATGACATATGATGTTAAGCATTTTTAATATGCTCATTTGCCTGTTATGTATCTTTTTTGGTGAGACGTCCATTAAGGTCTTTGGCCCATTTTTTGATGAGGCCCATTTTTTGATGAAGTTGTTTTCTTATTGTTGAGTTTAAAATGTTATTTGTATATTTTGAATAACAGTCTTTTATTAGATGTATCTC